TATATTTTATTCAAAAATAAAAACATTATCGCTTTCTCAAAATCACATAAAGTCATATTATAACATCGACTGAGATAAATAATAAAATAAAATATTAAAATCATGATGTATCTCGCTGCATTACGCGAATACGCTTCTAATATATATATATAGAGAGAGAGGGGGAGGGGGTATGTATATATGTATGCAATGTGTGTGTATTTAATATAATATTAATATAAATTAGAGTATGGTCCATATGTCATAAACACAATTATAAAACTTGTCTTGTGAAAGTAAAAAGATAAAAATACCTTTAATTTAACGGGAAAAGTTTAACAGAGTTAAGTTAAAGGATGATTTTCAAAGCAAATGTAAACAATAGGGATGATATTTGTAATTATTGAAATCTAGAGACCACTTTCCAAAATTAGTATAAACTGGAGGAACCAAAATTGTAGTTTAGTCTAAATGAAAAAATAAGACAAGAAAGAATATGACGATCACTTATGAAAATGTATACACTTGTGTTATTTATACATTAAAGAGGTCTATACTTTATATATTTCTTATTCATTTATTATGTATGAATAAATAATAACTAATAGTTAATTGTGGATTTAATATAATGGTTGAAAATATGTTTATTCATTTGTGAATGTATGACGTTTATATACATGATTAAGAATATTCATTCTATAAACAGGAATAAATTATTTATGAACAACAATATATTTAAATTTATAAATTGATTATAAAGTTTGAGATGAAATTTATTATTTTATATTAATGAATTTAAATGAAAATAGAGGGAGAAATATTGTCTCAAATAGCGTATATACGTTTAATATAATCATCATCTAAAAAATATATTTATATTATTTAATTACAAAAATACTTCTAAATATGTTTAAAGTTCTTATGTTCCGTTCCTTCCAATTTCTCTCTCTCTTTTTGGATCAATTTAAAAAACATGAAGACAACTTTTCCATCTGCTTGATGTGCTCGATGGATATCAAACAGGGAATACAATATTTGTACATGAGTTGATGCAACAACTTAGGACAATCAAAATATATCCCAAATAAATACAACACTGTCCAATCCACACAAATTGATCAATTGCTTTTCATCAGAAGCTCGATTCACTGGCGAGCGGTTCTTTTCATCCAACCTTAATCTCTTTACCTACTAACCTTGTTCGTCAGTCAATGGTTTCTTTTCTAACTAACCCATAAAATTGAGTGCTTATCATATTCTATTGTCACTCATCAAATCCATACATATTACCTAACACTATTCGACATCTATGTGTTTGTCCAATTTGTTCTGTTCTTGCTTGCAATATCCCAATACCGATGACTAACAATCGAGAATGAAGATGAGTAGACAAGCATTCAAAAAGTAGAACTTGCTATAAGCGACAGAGGAGTTATTGCAAAGTGAAAAGGAATAGGTAAAAACATAGTGTAACAGATCTTTCAAAATTTCTTTTCCCAGGAGCATGTTTATGCTCATTTTTTTATTATTAACAAGACTCTTCATTTTTTTAATTATTAAAAAGATGATTAATAAAGAAGTTTTCGAGTTTCAATGGACTTCAAAATTGTAAGAATTTTAAGGTCCAATTTGATTCTAATGAAATATATAAAAATTGAATGATCAATTTCATTAACCAAATTTCATTCAACTATTTGGTTAACATATGGAATGAAATTGAATTTCATAGATTATATCAGTCACACAAATTTTATTGTTCAATTGCATATTAAAATCCATTCATATCCATTTTTCACAAAACTTGTAGCATACTATATATGCCTACCCATTGCCTTTGTATTCTCATTATTCACACCGTTGTCGCACTACAAGTAACAAGGTTTTTAGAGAGGGAAGTTTTAGAGAAGAATTTGGAAGCGCATCTAAAGATGATTTTTAGAGAAGGAACTACGTCACAAAAGTGACAAGTGTAACTGAATGTAAGACAACTTTTAGAGAAGGATTTGGAACCAAATCATTCGCTACAGAAACAATCTCTAAAGCTTTTAGAGATGTTTTTTTATGAAAATTGTCTCTAAAAATCGAGTCAGAAGCTTTAGCAACGCTTTTCAAAACGTTTCTAAAACTAAATGATTTTTATTTTTATTTTTTAATTAATACAATTTCTAGACACTTTTATAACTTTTTAGGGAAAAGTCCAATAAAACCCAATGAACTTTAATGCTTAGAATGATTAAGTCTTTGGACAATTTTTTAGAATAAATAAGTGCTTAGACAATCCAAAACTTGTTACATAACTCTTTGGACTTTCTAAAACCTGTTAAATAGATCCTCATTCTTTAAGAATTTAACTTGTAACCTAAATAGGAGGTAAACCTAAATAAAAATAAAAATAAAAAAACCCTAAAACTATCCTAAAACACATCGCCTCCCTGGCTTAACATCTCCCTACACCACCATCCCGTCGCCGGCTGCCGTACCACCCCCATCTGATCGGATCTAAGGTTTTTGATCGAGTTTTCGGAAGGTTTTGTTTGTGTGTTTTGATTGATCAATCGATTGCGATTGATGTAAGGTTGGCTGATATGAGCAAGAGTATAAGGAAGAAGAGATGTTGCCGGAAGACCAGTAGCTAGAGGAAGCGGTCTCTGCCGTCTCCGACAATTTCGTTTTCCGTTGCAGAGGCCTTACATTTCTTGTCTAGATGTGTTCAAAGGCGTCGGGACCGTTCCGTCTCCTACCGACATGCATAAGCTTTGCCATATTCTCGGATAGCGATTTGTGTTTTGAGTTTTATTTACGGCATATGTTTTGAGCGATTGTGTGTTGGATTTGGTAAATTTAGATGTTTGCATTGGTGTATATGATGTACGGGAGCAATACATGTAATGAAATATTAGAAGAAACTAGACGAATTTTTTAAAATTTGTCAAGTATGCAAGATGTTGATTTGCTATACGTTGAAGTTAATTACATCTAGAAAAACAATTCAAAGCTTAATCATTCAAAACTAAAAACATTAATTATTTTTTTAATTTAAAAAAAAAGTTTAAGAATTAAACTATTTAAAATAAAAAAGTTTTTAAATTTTCCAAACATAAAAAGGGCATGATGCTATTTTGGATTTGTCCCATTTGTTCAATCTCCCGCCTCTTCTCACATCCCATGTCATTCGGTCTCATCGAAACACACAAAATCCACACTGAAATCCTCAGAACACAATAAAATGGAGAAAGGGGGTCGTGAAATTGGTTATCCTGGTTCTCGGCATGTGGATTTGAAAAGGTCGTTTAAGCTCGGTCTACATGGCCTCCTTACCACTTGCTCCAAAGAGGTAATCATCTTTTCAATCAATCTATGTCCATCGATTTGCTACCGTATATGGTATTACCAGATTCTGCAAACCCTTTTTCTCTCCCAGATTGCATTTTCATACATCACTTCTTTTTTCTTTTTCCCTTGATACTACTAAGAATTTTGTTTTTTCCGCAATTGAACGTTAGAGTACGCTTTGAGGTCAAATGGAATATGTCTTCATTTCGGCATTGATTTCTATCTTGGCGACTATATGTAAATTTATATCAAGTATAGAATCCCTAACACAATTTTTGCAATTGAAAGAGATTGGTTTGGTTTCAGAAGCTAGAATTCTATTGCAAAGAGGAGTATTTTGGTTACCAAAGGGAATAACTTGATACCCACTAATTTTGGTAGGTGAAAAAGCTAAGGAAATAGAAAAGGATGAGGGGAAGGAACTGTAGTAGATGTGATCTTAACAAACAATGCCTTCGATGTTAAAAGATACGTGATAAAATTATTTTGGTTAAACGAGTTCTAAATGAGATCTCTAAAAATGTCATATGTGCATAAGCCCCTTGATTAGGCTTGGTTACATCCACAAGAACATACCATAGGATGTTGTCAATAAACATGGTTGTAGCAACTTATGGTCGTGGCTGAGTAAGTGTCGCGGACGCCTCATAGCGATTGCACTTGGTTTAATATAGAAATTTTTGAGTGGCCGGATGCTAAACACATAAAGCAATGCAATTTTTATTTTTCACTTAAACTTAGATGACCTTATAAGCAATACAAGGTTTTTTTCCACTTAAACTTAGATGAACTCTTTTGTGAGGGTGAGGGAGACGATAGAGATCAAAAAGAGCCATTAATTTGTTTTTGTTTGGTTATTCAGATATGTTCCGTAGCTTTACTGTTTTGTCCCACATTGGGATTTTTAAAATTATTGTTTCATGGGCCTCAATGGAGGCTGTGGTTTTCATCCGTGGTTCTGTTTTGAGAGATTATATTTCAGAGATATTCTGTTCTTTGGTGAGATGCCAAGTACCTTGGGTGTTAAACCCATGATATCCTAGAATTTGAAGAATGATTTCCTAATCTCAAGTTCTTCACACTTGTTTCCATTGATTTGACCTAAATTATTTAGTCAATGTTTCTGCGTCACTATTAACCACAATAATCCAGTTCAACCACCTATTAGCTTATGAGTTTTAAATGTAAATGTTTAAAACACAAAGAAGTATTTTACAAATAAAATTTTTGTAGGGACTTATGTACTTGAAAAACTAAAGTATGATGGGATTTTTTGTTTGTTTGTATGATTCATGTAGAACTTCATTTTTGTGCTATATTGTAGTAAAAGAGTTTTGTTGCTTTTTCGGGTAAGTGGAATTGTTTACATGTCATGAAAAATAGCTGAAGTTAAAATCAAAGATTATATATTGAACTTACAAGAACTTTGTCAAAAAGCAAGTGCTAATTGAATGTTGTCTAACTTGTACTATTTGAAAGATGTGGTTTGTCTTAGCATGGTTAATTTCTTTTGGTTTAATGAAATAGTTTCATTTATTTGACATTTTCTTCTGTTTATTATTGTATACCTGAAGGAGTTCTGCAAAGCGTTTCCAAGATTTAGCCAGACAGAGCAAGAGCGTCTCCATAGGCTATATATAGAGGTGCTATTCATGTCTGGTGTTGCACTCTTTTCAATCATTTGTATTTTATAATCTTAAGTACATGTATTTAGCACATTGTCGAGTAGTATATATACATGCATAAGAAAATATAATGCCTGTGAAGGCCTCGTCCCACAAAAAAAATCCCATGGTAGGTTCTTTCTTTTGTCCATAAAAAATTTAACAACTCACCTATATCTTTGGTTAACAGCTAATTTTTTCTTTTTAATTTCTCAGGTTATTGTGTCTTTACATCAGAATATTGAGGTATATGTTTCTGTTCCTTTTACACTAGCTTTATCCTTGGCTAAATGTTTACCATGTTCTTGCTTGTTGCTGTAGGATGTACAATTGTTCCCTCGTTTCCTCGGTCAAGAGTTCACTTCCCAATTTTTAATGATTTATGATGCTTGTACTTGTGAGTGGTAGATTTTGACTCAGATTTTAAAGGTTAAAAGGAAGTAACAAGGAGGGAGAGTAATTTAAACTGTGGGGGTGTTATTTCTTGTTCACTTCTGATCTCATTCTTGCTTCAATTTTGTACTTGTAGAGAGCAAAATAATCTCTATTTACTAGGTTGTTTTTCCCATCAACCGACTTCTCTTTCACACTACGCAAGGAGTTTAAATTATGCTTTGGCAGCCAGTTTCTTATAGGAGTTCATCAGAATAGTAATAAGAAAGTGTTAGGAAGTGGATAAAACTCTACCTAAAACTAGTTTTCCTAGCATGTAAAGGATATAATAGTCATTTACTTATTTAACGGAATTGAAGTTATTTGTGTAGTTAGTTGATGAACAGAGATGCATCTACACAATAGTTGGCTGATGAACAAAGATACATCTATAAATAAAAGCTTGTGTAAATGGAACCATAATTAAGAAATTCAGAAGTTATAGTTTTTCGTTTGTAATATAGTTGGTTTCGTGGATGGATAGCTAACTGAACCTAATGGAACAGATCAAGCTAGGATCAAATCCCAAAGATAGCAAGTCTTTCCTCTTGAAAAGTCTTTTTCAGAAATTCTATACAAATTCCTATATGATATCGATATGAAACGGAGATAGTTACCTTTGAAAAAATTATAATGATAGGCGAAATGTCTATGTTTCATTCTTCTGAAGGCAGAGCTTAATACATGGATGAGAAACAAAAACATGATCATATCCTGAATTCTCAATACCATGTCGAAAGAAATCTCGGGCCTCTCGGCCAGTATTATGTTCTTAGAATCAGCATGTGAAATGTGGGAGGAATAAACCAAAATGGAGCTTTTAAAAATAGGTTCCTCAAAATAGGAACCGGAACAAGCACGTTCCATTTTGATGCAATTTACCCATCTTACTATTGACAAAGGATTTTTGGAAAGTAAGGCATATAGAGGTATTGGAGAGGTTAATTTTAGCCTTTTAGGTGAATGTCGTACTTCCTCTTCCCATATGCATCAAACCCTTGACAAAATAAATCCGACAGGAAACTAGGGAGCAGTCAGCAGGATTGCCAGGAGCTTTAGAGCAGTTGAAACTCCCTACAATAAACTTGTTATAGGCTTCTTAACTTTCAGATAATGATGTAAAGTGGCCTCACTTTTTTCGCCAATGACAAACAAACCCCTTAGCTTCCTGATGATGATAGATGGGTTCTTTAATTTCCAACAGTGAAAAAGATTCCCTCAACTTTCACTAAATCACATATAAGGTAATTAAATTCTGCAGCAATGAAGACTTTCTTCTATCCATCACCGTGATCAGGAAACCTGGAGCAGATGAACAAGTAAATGATTCAAATAACAAAGAGTACGGATTAACTAAGTAATAACAAGCACGGTATTGGAGGATGGTTCTGAACACCCTAAAACAACTGCATCAGCTCGGCACTGGTGCCAGAAAAACAAATAGATACAGCAAGGGTCTGAGTACTATTTGGCGAGTCCAGACAAATTTCTAGTTCAATTCGGCTTGTTTATATGGAAATTTATGAAAGCAAAGCGAGACTGAAAAGGGCCAAGCAGTGGTGGCAACTCAGGCTGCTGTTTGTGGTTGTTTGACTTTTGGAGCTAGTGTTTAGCTGGGCAGCCTCAGTTCTGATGCCCTGATAGGGTCCAAAGTTCATAAAGATAAGCGAGGATAATGACACATGCATGGGCACAAGGATAATAATCATGTAGAATAGAATTACCGTAGCTACAAAATTAGTGGTTCTAAAAAGTATAGTTGGGTTAACATATAAGATTCATTATGATGACTTCGTGACTCGTAAGGGCCTTGACTAAAATGTGCATGATGAACTAATTTTTCTTAATAGCTATTTGACTTTTTGGTTCTTAATACCATTCTCAAAGCTAATGCCTTGTCTTGCATTTTACAGGATGAGTTTGAAGTTCTGTGCCAGGAGACGAAGGTATTTTTTTAGAAAGACAGCTTGCTGCATTGTCAAGCTGAAGTATCTATAAGTCATAACTTATGCAAATTCACTTGTAAGGCATGGATACTTCTGATTCTGATTATGATAAGGGGCATGGTAACAAATACATTTTCTTAGATTTCAGAATAAAGAGGGTTAGGCATATGGTTAAAGAAGTTTATGCTTGGTGAATATCGAAATTCCATTTTGCAATTGCAAAGATGAGATGATTGAAGTATCGTGTAATTAATGATGGAAGCTCACACTCACAGGCTGATGTAGGCTATGATAAAGTTGCCAATTAGAGAACACCATTTGGTACAGGAGCCTACACTAGGGATGGAAACGGGGTGGATATTGGGTGGGTAATGCATCCCTCGTCCCCGCCTCCGACCACCGTTTGAAGCCCCCCGTCCCCGCTCCCGCCCCGACTAATCCCCAACGGTTTGGGGAACCCATTGGGTACCCATTTAGTAAAACACTGTCTATTTTAAAATTAAAATTATAATGAATCGTCACTATATTAATTACCAATATTGAAAATCAGAATATATTTGTCATTTAATAATAATGCATACATATATACATGTATATTTATTAATATACACACTATATACATATATTAATTAAAATAAAAAAATTAATCGGGAATCGCATTAGGGGCGGGTAATGCCACCCCTGACCCCGCCCCGACCCCGCTTTGGGTATGAAAATAAATCCCTATCCCCGTTGCCCGTCAAACAGGGGAAACCCCGCCCCGTTAGGGTTGGGTACCCGTGGCCCAACGGGTAAAATTTCATCTCTAGCCTACACTGAGTTGACACAAGTGCCAGATTTTAACTGAAAAAGTTGGCATTAACGGAAAATAACTTTATGATAAATGTGTGTGCAATTGTCAAGACAAGCTGTGCATCTTTTAAGACCTTTGCTGATCAGCTTGTTTAGCATCTTGGCAGAAACAAGTCCTATGCTTTTTGGATAAGTCATAGCAGTCATTGGTGGATTGAACACGTTCTCGAACAAATGTATTATTTATTCCCTTTCATTTTTGCATTGTGTTGTATTTTATTTGGTTGTAGGTGGGAAACGTTCTTGATACTGTAGAGAAACTTGTGGAAGAACAAACTCTGGATCCTCTATACCCTGATAAGTATGCATCTGCCACTTTCCTATACTGTTCTCGTATTAATAAATCCGAAATCTCTGTTACTTCAAAATTTCTGCAAAAATCGGTTGCCACTAAGACCAAGTTGTTTTATAGAAAGGACAGTGGAAATTTAGAAAGTACCACATCATGAACCATGCATATAGATTCTCGTAAGTATCACAACTTCCAAATTGTATGTTTATGCTGGAAAGCAGGTGATGAGAGCATGTATAATCAACTAGTTTAAGCTAATGCACATGATGCAACCCCGACATGGAATAAGCCCAGTTGTTGGGTTATACAGTTAGTTTCTTGAAATAAAGTATAATTCTAGTCAGATTTATCTATAAAATATAATGGACACACCTTTAAGTTATAGGGAACGATTTAACAACGTATTAACAACAAAAAAATCACTTTCTTCACTTTTTAAATGCAATATTGACTTTCTTGCAAACTATCAGTGGATGATGCCCCAATGAAGATATCAAATGACTCACTCTGCCTATGGTTATAGCATTATTGTGATACATTTTGATGTTGTGATCTCAAGTTCGAGGCCAAATAATTCTAAATCTAATTGTGTTAACCATGATACATTTTGCTTAATCACCAGTAGACAAGACAAATGGCCTATCTTGCATGATTAGTAATATTGTATATCATATTTTGCGTTAATAAATGCTGCTTAGTCTTGATATTATATAAATCTTATGTGCATTAGAGAATTTAAAATTTTCAAAGCATTGCACCATCCATATGTTGAGCGACGATAGGTATTTGTTCAAACAATAAGGAAACTCCAAGTCCCACCATGCTAATGCATATTGATCCCCACCTTTCTTCATATTTCATTCATATCATTTGAGAACCACATGTAGAAACATACTAATAACTTGATTTGATGAATGTTGAGTAAAAAACTGAAAAATTATTCATGGAATGACATCCAATAACATATAACATCCCCTTTATGTAATTCACATGGTGCATTCCAGAATATATGTTGTGAAAATGAAAATTTGGTTACCATGATACTATATCAAGGGCTGGTAAACCATAAGATAATTAATATATTCATTTGTAAGTTATGCATGTATATGTTGTATATACGTGAGGATGGGATTCGTATGAGAGATATATTTGTGCTTTCCAGGACAAATTTCAAAGATGTTGCACAAGTCTTGTCCACCTTAAAGAAGAATGAGATCCAAAATCTTACAAGCATGCTGGAAAAGGTGTGTTAGTTGTTAACTCTTTTACTTGTTAGAAATATATGATAAGTGCATACTGTTACCGCATGTTAACCTGCAGGTTTATTGATTGGCCATTGTCCTGCTTGTACTTAATTGTTTTGGCTTTTGATCAATGCTACAAACAAACTTTTTGAGAACTAGTTTTACATGGTATTTAAGAGTGGTAGCACTGTGAGTATGGCACTTTCATTCAGCCTTAGCCTCTTTGCAGTGTGATGAAACTTTGGACAGCTTTCAATTGAGCCTTCAACCTGTCCAACAGGCTACTCTTTGATGCATCATTGAGGTCTTGATTTGATTCTTCCTTGACAAGTTTGTTTTTGGGTTTGAATACTCGGTCCGACACATTAAGAGCTTGTGCAAGAGGTTTGTAATGGGTAGCCCCCGAGCCGGCACACCTTGCCCTGCCCCAAGAGCACCACGTGAGAGGTAAATCAAGTACACAAAGGCCCGCTAGGTGGCTTGCTCAAGAGCCGAGTGCCCAGAAAGAGTTCAATCTGGCTCTAACATTGATACATCTACTTTTGCTGTCACAAGTGCCCACAAAGAGTCCAATCTGGCTCATTTATTTGCTGTCATCTACCTTTGTGGTTTTACTGCATGGAGTTTGGCGATACAAGATGGCATTGCCTAAGTCAGATCTTGGTTCACAATCACCACCATCTTCTTGTGCTCAGAAGCATTTACTGAGGATACCTCTGTTGCACCTTCCTCGGTTAAATGATTCAGGTGCCATAAATCACACGATACCTGTTCTTTTAATCGTTTAGCTTTGGTTAATCATGTCCCGTTAGACATTAGTGGTATACACTCTGAATTTCGTATCCTCCTTGGTTTTATAAGTTCTGATCCCTGATAATCTTATATCCTTTGGCCAAATAACAATAAACATATCTTGTTCTGTGACCCTTATCTGTTAAAACAAAATTGCAGCAAGCAATGGGTGTATCTTACATGAGATAAACTATGACTCCTGGGGCGTGGCGTTGGGCAGCATGTGGGAAGAAATTGTGTAGGTAGGCGAGAGAATCTGTGAGCCTAAAGCTTAGGTGAGAGAGCAACAAGCATTTTGATCTAACTATCAAATATGTTGTCCTTATTAAGGCTTGTTAATTTTGGCTCCCCTTTTTGAGCCCAAGAAAAGAGCATCCTCATGTGTCATTTTGGTATCAGTACCTAAATCCTGAATCCCTAATCACCAATCAGTCACAATTGTTCATCATCAACAGCATAACCAACATATCAATTCTGAATTCTGGAAAATACAGTCTGACAGAAAATAAACATCAGTTCTGGAAAATTATATACGACTTAGAGAGTCAAATGTAATCCTTGTGCTTGGAAGTTCTAATATCAAGATTGACCCTATTTAATTTGTCATCATCATAATTACCTAAAGATCCATTGTTGTTTGAGACCATATTTACCTTTCTGTGTCCTTATATACCAAGTTTATTTATCAGATTGAGCAATCAGCAATGACCCTTTTTTATGTCATATTGTTTAGTCGGAAGCACAGAACAAAGTGTTGAGAAGTCGTGTTGAATTCTTACAAAAGGAAACACAAACTTCCTCAAATGCTGTCCAAAAGGTACCATGTTTGCTTTCTTACATTTTCTTTTAGTTAAACGACACTTCTAATTATATTATAGAATTCTTTCGTGTTAGCTCCAGATGAAGAACGCAGGAATGTTGAATCAATGAACAAGCAATACTACTGATCCATGATAGCCACCAGGTTCAAAGATTCTTGTATGAAACTCAACTCCAAGTGAGGTTAGATACGCCATTAGGTTAAACTTGGATTGTGTCACCAACATCTTAGTGACACTGTAGACATGCTGTTGTCTTTGTTTTCTCTATATTGTCCCTTTTGGATCCTGAGGCTTTTGTTCTTGTGCTATTTCACTTTTTTCATAAATCGTGCGGTCAAATGGGGTCGGTTATCTTTGGTTTTTAGGTCAACCAAGGGCATCTCTAATGGGTAATACCAAATTTTACACTTAAAGTTGGTGAAAACAATGAATCTACTCTAACTCCAATGGGTAACACCAAAATGTAAGAATTTAGCTATATTACTTCTTATCTTTTCCAATTGGTGTAAATGAATGGTGTTACACCAAATTTGGTGTGTTACTATTTATTACATCAAATTTGATATAAGATTTGGTGTCCCTATTGAAGTGATTTGGTATCAAATTTGGTATTTGGTGTTGCCATACGTGTTGAATTGTATCTGTGTGTGATACTCAACTAAGTAGGAGGCTGCACAACCTTGTTGGGAAGCTGCATTTGGCAAAGGGAGTTACGGTGCTTTATAAGGAAGGCATACTATGGTGGTCATACAGATACATACATTTCTTATGGGAAGGATTAAACTCTTTAAGCCGGCTAACTAATAGATAGAGATATAGCTCGGTAAACACGGGAATCACTTTGGCTTAAACACGGCTATGCTTCGCTCTTTAGTGACCTAGGTTGACGACTTGGTATCGTGTGGGAGTGTTTTGGGGACATTTGTGTGTAAGCTAAGGTAGTATCGCCATAGTGACTTATGGGATAAATGGGTTTTTAGATTTGTTTGGTTTGTGAGATAGTTTGGCAAGTTGAGCAAACACATTTGTGATCTTCTTGTCCATATTAAAGTAGATAGCTTTAAAAAAATCCCTTCACCTAAGAATTTTCGAATTCATAAAATCACATATCATTTTTTAGTCGCTAAAAATTCACACTAATTGAACTTTGAATGGACCATAAAGTCGCACAAAATATACTTTGAGGGTGTTGGTTACTTTTTATCAAGGTTTGGTTCCAATGTGATATACTTCGATTCCATATGCAGCCTTGGTTGGTTGCTGTGAAACTTGGGAAACAAAACTTCATTACACAAAATACATCGTGAAGCTGGCAAAGGATCGTGTGAAAATGAGAAGCGTGAGACCCTTGATCACCTTTAATCTCAAATCCATTCATGAATCACGCTTGATACGTGGATTGATCTGGTGCATTTCATCCTAACGTCCATCCAAGGGTGAAGATTCCTTCTTACGTTTTTCACCTCAACTTTCCTTCTCACCGGAACTCAAAGAAGCTTTGGTTAGTTTTTGTAAATGTTGGGTTCCCATGTTAAGCTTTGGTTATAGTAAAACTTTGATGGGAAAGGTTGGTTGGTTCCGACATGAAAGTTTTTGGTTGACGCAAGGGTTAGGAACCAAAACTTTACAAGCAATAATCAAAACTTGTCAAAAATATATATATATATATATATATATATATATATATATATATATATAGTGAAGTTTTGGTTCCAATGTGAACCAAATGTTCACAAGAAACAACCAAAGCTTCACATAGACTACATTTTACACCTTCATGAGAAATATGGCCAAAGGGTTAAGTAGTTTTAGTATAAGACAAATAAATTAGGGTTACACAAGTGTCTTTTCCCTATATTCTCTGTCAGAAGGGTTTATGTTCTACTGTATTCTCCATCACAATGGTGCTAATTTTTCAGGATTTACTAGTAAAAAAGTTGCCATTTCACTGACGATTTTACAGTTATACATGAAACCAAGGAAGAAAGTGATGCACGTTTTTTTGAACTACTTTCTTACAAAGTAGTTGATAAAATAAACCATGTAAAAAGGTTTATTTACATGGTTGTTAAAAAAATGGTGTAAAAAGATGAATCCTTGATGATAAAAGAGAGAATGAAAGAAACCCAAGAATAAATGACATTCCAAAGCCAACATACACCACAAATAGCTACTAAAATACCAATTATTTTTGCAATCAGACATCATGTTAGTAAAATCCTACCAAAAAGTCCATTTTGGAAATAAGAAAAAGAAAACCAGGTGACCCTTACTCTGATTCAACTTTGAGAACTATCTTCATAAGTTCATAAACAAAATAACTTATTGCAGCTGATGGTAGCACCTGTGCAAACACAACACATGAAAACCATCAAAATACAGACATGAATCCCAGCCTTTCCCATTCCACAATATGCAAAATAAAACAACCCCCCCTTCAAACATAATACATTTCATGTTTTTCCTTTATCATGAACAAAGAAACCTATTAAGAATTCAACCTCCAAGACCAGTCCTTCCAAGCCTGTTTTCAGTGAGTAAAGAAAAAGGCCATGCTTTTTGCTTTAAACAGATTTGCATAACAAAAGTGGCAACATTGCTAAGCACATTACAACCTATTACTGGTTTGATTTGAGGTTTGGCAAAGATCATTAAAACTGCATTATTACCTTTTCTGGTTAATTCAAAAGCTACATCTATTTACCTCTTGTCATTACAAGTTGCTTATGTTCTTTTCTTGGTTACATAAAATGCATCGAATTGTGTTATTATTGAAGGGTATTTTAGACATTTTGATTGTTAGTCAAACAGCTATGTCAATCTAGTAGTATATGTATGTACACTTCTAGTTATATTTAATCGTATCACTAGAAGGACTGCTTGATGTCGTAAATCAACAATAAAGCTTCCCAAGATCACGGAAAATTTAACAAGTAAAAAAGATCGTCCAAAATATAGATGTGAATTCGGATTAGAGGAAAAATGACTTTATTCACATCAGATTTGGGTTATTCATCACCATTTTCTTCCCTACTCAGTGTGGGATTTACTGGTTTTGTTTACTATTTACTTAACATGCTTTACAATGTGGCTATGATCTACACATTTGAATAAAACAAAGGTGACAAATTGAACCTGTCATACTAAAAAAACAAAACTTTGCTTCATTTTCTTCTTATAAATGCCAAATTCAATATGCTTCAGACAATTTCTATCTATCAAGTCAAATGAATTAGACAAAATATCATTGAGTTTCTTAACCACACTACTTGTAACTATGTTGCAAACTAACTATTTTAAGTGGCAAAATACAAAAAGAAAAGCACATATGTCATAGAGAGTGATTATAACCATCGTACCTGAAATAACAATCAGATATTGTCTAAAATCACTCACTCAGACATTTTTGGTGTTCATTCTTTATTTTAGCAAGTCAATGTTTAGTTTGATATGCATACAAGTACAAAGGTTTAAAGATCAAAATCACTCATTATATATATATAGAGAGAGAGAGAGGGGGTTGGGTTCCCCTAGAAAATCAAATCTTTGTAAGAAGCACTTTGTTAGGGAGGTTCATATAAGTTAAGATTTCATTAGTATGCTAACGTATTTTAACTTATTTTAATTTCATACAATAGCAAATATATATATATATATATATACACACACACACACACACACACACAGGCGGAGGTTCAAAGGAGAACAAGTCCATTTTACGAAAACGCAAGAACACCATTCTCACATATAATAATACATGTGAGAGACCTTATGGTCGGCGGACGACTTAGCCCGCTATCTGGGTCGCCCTAAAGATCATCCGGGTCTCTGAATTAGTATCACATGTGATAGATTATAGTATCACATCGAGAACACCCTTATCACATGTGATAATACATGTGAAGCGGCCTAGTGGTGTGTGGGCGACATGGCCCACAACCTACGTCGCGCCAAAGGTCGTCTGTGTCTCTAATTTAATATCATGTGTATTATATACGATGGACTATAGTATCACATCTATAGTAAAAAGGTGTTCTCCATGCATTTTCGTAAAATTAAGGTGTTCTCCTCTGAACCCTTCCCTATACATACATACATACAAACACACACACACATATATATAATATGGGGGGTGTTTCATTTAAAAGCCATGCAATTCTAGCAAACTTTACAAACCAATCTTATCCGTCCATCTAGTCTAATAAATATATGATTGTATTTAGTTCCCTAATCCAAAGTCATGATCATAATGAATGAACTTTATCATCTTCCATATATAATAATAATGGTCCATAAATATCTTAATTGTTTCAAAATATAATGGTTTGTATTTGAAACCACCCTTTTATATATATATATATATATATATATAGAGAGAGAGAGAGAGAGAGAGAGGGGAGGGGGAGGGGAGGGAGGTTTAGGGGAAATCCCCAAAAAAAAAAGAGAAACTGAGGAACACCCTGGTAACCGTTCATCTGAATAGTATGTGCATACAAGTAATTGAAGTTGTTTCTTGGTTTTTATGCATGTGTGTATGTTATGTGCATACCATCCAAATGAACGGTTACCGGTGTTCCTCAAATTTTCATTTCTTTATGGTTTTTCCCTAAAACTGACCCTATTCTCATACGATCCTTTGTCTATATATATATATATATATGTGTGTGTGTGTGTGTGTGTATTTATATATATATATATATATATATATATATATATGTGTGTGTGTATTTATATATATATATATATATGAAGGATCGTGTGAGAATAAGAGTTAATTATGAAAAGTGTAAGAAGAAATCTGGACCCTTGATCACTTTTATCTCACCTCCACCCATGAATTGCATTTATCACAGGAATTGATATGGTGCATCTCAGTGCACCACGTTAGTGTTGATCTTCAATTAGGATTGATCCAAGGTTGGAGGTCGCTTCTCACCATACTTCCATTCTCACCGAAAACCAACTCTCTCTCTCTCTCTCTCTCTCTCTATATATATATATATATGAGCAAAGATAATGTAATCATTTAATAGTTATTCAAGGCCGTACCTGCAATAAACTTGGAGTCAATCCTGAATAGAGAGCAGGAACGCCACCTTGGTCAATTATCTTCAAAAAAGTTGCCATTGCACTCATTTTTGTGGCACGAACTTGCATCTGAAGTTGTCTTCTAACAACTTCAAAGGGATATGTAGCAGCTTCAGCACAACATCCAGCAATTGCACCATATATCAACGTTCTAACAGTACCCAATTCCATTTGCTCCAAAGCATTTAATTCTTCCTCTGAATCTTTCATATGTTGAAGTCTTCTCCTTCCTCCCGGTGAATGCAAATAAGCCGACTTTAATATATCATAAATTCCGTAAAACACTGCCCCTGAAGGTGCCATGCTTATAATAGAAGGTAATAGGCCTTTATATAGGGAAAAAAACCCTTCGGTTTGGATCATATGGCGAAAAGCACCAATTACACCTCCTAAGGCTTCTCCTCCAGGTGCCACCATTTTTGTTCTGATCTGTTGCATCGAAATTTTTATGAAACATTCTTTTTCAAAACTGTAATAGAAAAACATTTAGGAAATATGTCACTGCTAATCATCATGAACAAGTTAAAACACTCCCTCCGTCCCAAAATAAGTGTCCACATTTCTGAATTAGTTTGTCCAAAATAAGTGTCTACTTGCAAAAACAAATGCCTACTCTCCAATCCTACCCATAATAATGAGATGGAGTAATTCATTACTTCCTTTATTATTAAGTGTAAAATTGTCATTTAGTTAACTATAAAGTAGAGTAGTTACACATTTCTAAAATTGCGTGCTTTTTTCATTGGGACATTTATTTTAGGATGGAGAGAGTATATTTTAATAACCCCAAGTGGGTAAGACTTTGGTCCTCAGTTTAACCAGAAGAGCTATCAACGCCTTACCGGCCAAAAGGACTAAAGTTTGGGACAAAAGTGCAGGATACCATGGTTACTACAAAAATGAATATATTAGTTACAGTCAGATACAGTTCTTGAACGACGAAGCATAACCAATGTCTATAAGGTAGCACAGACAGGACAAATTGTTTGTATAGTGTTTAGTAAGTTGGACAAAACTGTTCAGATAAACACATTGCCCCTAAATCCTGTTTAATGTTTTTATATATCATATATGACATAAATCAAGTACATGTATAAATAATTTAATTTATAATCATTCTTACACAATTTTCACACACATACACACACACACACACATATATAATACCAATTTGAATGAGGAATTTGATCTCATTGATGGTAATTCGAAGGAACCCAATTTGTACAAGGGAAAACCCACGTCTCATTTGGCAACTTGATGAGCAAAGAATTGAAACAGAATACGAAGGTATTTCAGAACCATTTTGGGAAAGTATAATATTTGCAGGATTAAGCATTGTCAACAAAATATTGGCATGGACAGATGCTGCCTCATTGAAGGCACCTGAATCAGGCAATGATATTTAATGAAAACGAGATTGGAAGAAAATTTTGCGGCTATTTTTTTAATCGGAAAGCTGGATCATGGAGGACATCGTGTACCATCAACTCATAATTTAGTTCAGTGGCCCTAAGCAGAAAAGTACCCAGTGGCAGTAAGCAGAAAAGTACCCAGTGGCCCTAAAGAGACTCAAATTGGCGCCCTATGGGGAGGGGCTAGCCTTTATTGGCCAGTTGAGCTGGTCCTCAAGGTTTATTTCTCTCTCAAGTTAATTCCAAACTTCTGCAGCGGTAGCACAATACAAGATGCTTAACCCAATTTTTTGCATTTAACTTTTGAGTTGTAAACATAAAATTGCTCGAAAGATTGCCATTGTGGATGACATATCCATTACTACAATCGATCACAAAAGAATTCTCGGATTCCTTTGGCATTTACAGCAAAGACAACACAGATCGGACAAGAGAAAAAGAACGAGCGATTTAAGAGACGGGTAGATCAAAGCTCGATCAATCACTGTGATATATACAAGGAAAACAAGATGTAATGAAATTGAGAAGGAACACTTATGGACAGATAGTGATACAGTGGCACAAATGATTAAAGAATGAACCAGAAACAATCTAGGATTAAGATGATTGCAGAAACAATCTAGAATGAAGATCAATGCTGCATTGATACCATGATAATTTTGGGAGATGAAAACTGCTGTATTATTATTTCATCGATCTAAAAATGATACCAAGGGTTTCTATATGTACAAAGCAAAGGATATTTAATTTCTAATAGTTTAAAGATGTGCGCTTTTGCTTTTAACCAACAAATATTTTATGCTATGGGAATTGTAACATTCAAAAGGTCTAAAGAGGATTACTCCTTGATGTGGCTACTACCAAAAACAGCCTCTTTGTAAAATGCAAGGAAAAGATTATGCCTCTCCAACCCTTGCAAAGTCGAGGAGAAAACATGTCAAATTGAAGACACAAGGAAGTAGATTTAAATATAGGGCCAAATGCATCAAAAAGTTTGGTTTCGTTCCTATTTACTGTAACAAAGAATATTCTTTTCTCGATGAATAAAATTTTCCATTTTGTACCCATTTTGACCACTAACCTGCTGATTTTGTAACATTTGATGACGAGGAGACCCATTTACGAAATGTTTACAATGAAGTGAATAATAAACTTGACATCCACATCATCATATGTTAGTATGCTACAAGATCAAAAGGTTGCCGCCGGTCAAAATGGGTAAACAAATAGGAAAGTTTGAAACTAAGTTACATCAAATAGGAAATTTTGAAACTTTGTTACGTTGATTGAGAAAAAATAAACTTCGTTGCATTTTGCCCTGAAATATATAAAACCATCAAGCTCCAAACTTAAAAGCTACAACAAAAAAAAGCAAGAAAAAGGACATAAAAGTAAAGTAGCACATACAGTGTCCATGGGTATGCAGAGTACGGTAGCAGTGATTCCGGCAGCAGCACCAGCAAGGAACCTTTCATAATTAGTTGTTTCTTCATTCCCAGTTAGCTTCAGCAGTTCACTTCTGTATTTATCATAAGCATAGAAGTTGATGGCCTTAAATGGGGCCGTTCTAAGAATATTGACAAAATTTCCTTTCCAAAAGCCTTTAATCCCTTGAGAAGCTGCAATTGACTGTATAAGCTCGATAAGATGTTTCTGTTCTCCACGAACCATATACTCCAGCTTTAGTCTCTCAAGTGGTGCAACAAAAGTTCTGATACATGAAGGGAAGACAATGGTTACACAAAACATAAAGGTGAAGAATAATAAGTTTGTCCAATATGCAATTATTTGTGATATTACAAACTTGTTACTTCCTCCGTCCCAAAATAAGTGTCCACATTTCTATTTGGTTTGTCCCATAATATTCCCATTCTACCCTTAATTATAAGATGAAAAAAGAATTTTTCTCTATCATCAAGGGTAGAAGTGTCATTTAGTTAATTAAAAACTGTAGTAATTACAAATTCCTAAAATTGTCCATTTTCATTGTGGACATTTATTTTGAGAGGGAGGGAGTAATACAAAAAATTGCACTACCCCATCTCCCATGATTACCATCAACACTCCTTCTGTCCTAAAATAAGTGTCCACATTTTTATGTTTGTCCCAAAATAGGTGTCCACTTTAATACATAGATAGTAATAATTTACTAAATTTTCAACCTTACCTTAATTATGATGTACAAATGTTTAAGAGATGATGAGATAGAGAACTTTATTAGTGGAATACTTATACATATCTAAAACTGTGTGCCTTTTTATTAAGAATTAAATTGTCATTCAGTTAATTAAAAGTGTAATAATTATACATTTCCAAAACTGTGTGCTTCTTTATTGTGGACATTTATTTTGGGATAGTGGGAATATCAAATAAGCTAGAAAGACTATTAGAACAAAAAGGAAGGGAGGAGACTAGCAGCTATCCAGATCTGACAAATTCTATCCAAGATATGGCTTTTCATCATCATTAATAAAACTTAGTAGAAGTAGGAAACAATCATATATCCTCTTTGCGGTAACAAAAGCATATAAGTTGAGATAGCTCACTATATACCACTATAAGTTTATACTGTGGAAAAGGAAGAGAAGAATGTTCACCATAATTGCTGATCTCATATAGAATTCAAGCCAATAATGTGATAAATGAATGTACTAAGTAATACTCCCTCCGTCCCATAATAAGTGTCGACATTTCTGTTTTAGTTTGTCCCGAAATAAATATCCACTTTCAAAAGTAAGTACCTGCTTTCCAATTCCACCCTCGATGGATAAATTCATAAATATTAAGGGTAAGATAGTCATTTAGTTAATTAAAAAGTGTAATAATTACACATTTCTAAAACTGCGTGTTTTTTTTCATCTTGCACATTTATTTAGAGATGAAGGAAGTATTACTTCAAACCAAAACCCTAGTTTGCAAGATTTTGCTCCTGTTTTCATCCAGCAGACATAGGAAAAGTAAGATAAGAAACATGGAAAGGGTGGTTTGTGAATTGTGAAGGCCAAAAGGTGGTCAATTGGGGAAGGGAGGTCCCCCAGGGTATCAGAGAGATGGTAGGTAGGCAAACTTCATGTGGGGCTAATAGTTTCCATTTCCCAAAATATCTCATAATCACCATTTCAAAATAGGGAAATTCCTGTTAGTAATGTCCTAGGATAGATAGAGGGGGATCTTTGCTTAGTAGCGTGTTACCTAGGACTTGGCATTGTGCTTCTGTTAAGGTGGTCGGATTTTTTTACTTGCACCTCGGTCTTTTCTACCGAACTTCTCTTAGCATATTTTCTCTCAGTTCCTACGTTTTTATGCCTTTTCTCCTTATATGTTATATATGTATTTTAAAGGCAGAGTAGGCATTACCAATAACCATTTTGAAAATAAGTACAAAATTATAAAATAGTATGCAATATCGAAATTGGAATATATGGAAGCATCAACATATGATCTCCCCTCTTTCACACTGTTTTCTTCTTGCTTCACATGTTCACACATTCTCTTCTTCCACTTACACAAATCCTTTCCCAAAACCAAAATTCAAAGAAGAAACCCGCATATCTATTAAGTATAAGTAAAAGACATCTTGAGGACACTATCCACATTTCCTATTTTCATTCTTAATGTTAGAACAGGGGATTTGCTTTAAAAAGACACAATAGGGTGATAGACCAAGAACCAGATTACTTGATAATCGTGTAAAGAGCACTCTCCGAATTGATATTTCGACCCTATGCCTGGGTTACACGAAATTCAATATGGGATAAGACTCAAGAGAGCACTATCGTTTTTAGGCACAAAAAACGAAAGCAAACTAGCTGGAGTGTATATTAGACTTGTTCAAAAAACCCGTATCTAAAACAGAAGCAAAAAGGTTATTTCATCGAAATTAATCGAAATGATAATCATAGCTTAATTTTAGGAGTAGTGCACAGTTATAAAACTGCACATTAAAAGAGTGGACGGTTACAAAATTGTTCTTTAAAGATAGTGGACAGTTACAAAACTGCTCTAACCGTTCCAGACATGAAGCCAGAGGCAAGACTAACCAGAGCCCCTCACCAAAGCCTCTCTGCCAGCAAGGCCAACCAGAGGCAAGTCTTTAGCAATCATAAGCAAGGAACCAGAGCCCCTCAAGTCTTATCAACTAGAGGCAAGCCTTTAGTAATCATAAGCAAGGAACCAGAGCCCCTCTGAGCTTTGGTCTTATCAACCAGAGGCGAGTCTTTGGCAATCATAAGCAAGGGACCAGAAAGCCTGGTCTTACCAACCAGAGCCTTTGGTCCTTAACAACTAGAGACAAGGAAGACCAGAGCCCCTCTGGGCCTTAAAACCAGAGGCAAGGAACCAGAACAACAACTGGACTCAAGGCCGTCCTTAATCAACTAGAGCCCCTCCCTCTGGCCAGAGGAAGAAGCCATTCTAGTCCTTATGATTAATTTTCCATCACAATGCAAGGGGTGCTGCCCCTTAACTCCCAACAGGTCATACTCTCTTATAACAAGTGTGCACTCCGCACCTCCTGACATGTATTAGAACACAATATAAAACCCCCTTAGAACTCGATGTTACTTCCAATTACACTTAAATGGCCCGGTGACACTAAAACCACCAACAATCCTCCCCCATTTTAGTGTAACCCATGAAATAACACTTTAAAATGAACAAACCAAACTTGCACATAAATGAAAATATCGAATCGATTGAATTTCCACGTTAGCATTTTACACATTTCAAATATTCAAAAATCAAGGTGTCCTAAGGATTGAACCCATCAACTCATTTGAATACATGAAGATAAAATACATACAAGTTTATAGTACTCTTCCGGCAGGAAAAAAAATGACACAATTATAAAGTCGTGTGTCCTAATCCTCTCATGATTATATACAGGGCCAAGTCCCCAACCCTGTTGAAGTGCGGCTACACTTCACAATCACATATGTAGTCCCTTTACTTTGTGTACCTGAACATACACTTTATCAAAGGAATTATTAGGAAGATAAACTTTAACCTTCCCACTGCAGAACCGAACACAAACCTGGGATAATATCAAACATGTGTTCCATATCCAAAAGTGAGCTTTCCACATTGAATTCAGCCTCTAATGTCATATTAGAGGGGAATTGGGTGTCTCACTATTAAGGATTTAAATAGACTTTAAACCCATCCCAATCACCGACTTGTGCACCAAGTCCCGGGTCAATCTCTTTGTTAGATGGTCCGCTAACTTATGTTGCGACCTTACAAACTCCACCGAGATCACACCATTCTTGATTAATTCTAATCATGCTATGTCTAAGACCTACGTGTCTAGATTTGCCATTATAAGCTTGGCTATAAGCCTTAGCCAAAGTGGCCGCACTATCACAATGGATAGAAATAGGTGCAATCGGCTTTAACTACCATGGAATTCATAAACTAAGTTTCTTAGCCATGCTGCTTCCTTATCGGCCGCGGCTAACGCAACAAACTCATTCCATCGTTGAGTTTGTGATGCAAGTTTGCTTCTTGGATGCCCAAGAAATGGTACCTCCTCCAAGCAAAAATACCCAGCCACTTGTAGAGAAATGATCCTCTACATTGGATATCCAACTTGCATCCGAATATCCTTCTAACATCGAAGGTATCCAAGATAATGCAAACCATAATCTATGGTTCCTTTTAAATACTTAAATACTCGCCGAATTGCTTGCCAATGTTGAGCACTAGGATTACTAGTATACCGACTCAACCTTCTAACGGCATAAGCAATATCGGGTTGAGTGCTTGTCACGGCGTACATCAAGCAACCTATAGCTCGTGAGTATTCTAATTGTGAAATAACTATGCCTTTATTAGGCATTAATTTCACACTTGGATCCATAGGAGTGCTCACGAGTGAACAATCACTATAATTGAACTTTTTGAGAATATTCTCAATATAGTGCGATTGTCATCGCAATCCCTTTATCCACCTTCTTGATCCTTATTCCAAGGATCACATCAGCCTCCCCATGTCCTTCATGAAAAACCTAGATGACAACAAACTTTTGGTCTCATCAACTTGATGTTGATCCGTACCAAATATCAACATGTATAGAGACAAATGATCACACCGGCACCGGAAGAGTTAAACCGACTATACACACATTTATCGGATTGGTTTAGGGTAATACCACTTGACAGAATTACCTCATCAAACTTTTGATGCCATTGTTTAGGGGCTTGCTTAAGCCCGTACAACGATTTCACAAGTTTACATACTTTATGCTCATTACCTGGCATAATAAAACCTTCCGGTTGTTTCATGTAAACTTCCTCATCAAGATCACTATTTAAAAAGGCTGTTTTGACATCCATTTGATGGATGATCAGATTGTGGATAGCCGCCAAGGCAGTCAACAACCTAATGGTAGATATACAAGCCACCGGTGCATACGTGTCATAATAGTCGATACCAGGTTTTTGCCTAAACCCTTGTATGACCAACCGGGCTTTGAACTAGTCAATAGTCCCATCTACCTTCATCTTCTCTTTAAATATCCATTTGCAACCTAAGGGTTTTGATCCCGGTGGCAAATCCGACAATACCCAAGTATTGTTTTCTAAATCGATGATATTTCGTCATCAATGGCCTCTTTCCAAAAGGCAACATCCCAGGATTCCATGGCGTCTTTGAAGGTCTTAGGATCATCCTCAACATGGTAGCAATAAGAATATTGCAGCCCCACTTCATCCCTCGAACCTTCAAACAACTTAAAGTCGGGACCGAAATTTTTCACAACTCGGCCTCTTTTGCTTTTTCGGAGCTGCTGTATTTTTGGGGCTAAAACGATCTAGAGCTTCTGGATTCTACCTTACTGTTGTTAGAAAGCAGGTCTTTAGGCCTTTGAATTGAAGAAAAACGCAGCTCATCGAAAATAGCATCGCGCGACTCGACACGGTGTTTATCAACACTGAATCGTTAGGTTCTATTACATAAAACCGGTAGGCCTTGAAATTTTCTGCATAACCAATAAATATGCAATCTATTCCTCTTTCCCCCAAAGTTTTCTTATTGGGTTCGGGTAGTTTCACAACGGCCCGACAACCCCAAACCCGAAAATAACTCAAATTCGGAGCCTTTTTGAACCAAAGCTCATACAGGACTGTTTTGTTCCTTTTATTTGGAACTCTATTTAAAACATAACAAGCCGTTAACATGCCTTCTCTCCAAAATCCCTTATTCAAACCTGAGTAAGAAAGCATCGAGTTAACCATTTCCTTTAAAACTTGATTTTTCCTTTCGGCTACACCATTTTGTTGTGGTGTGTAAGGAGCCGTGATCTCATGGATAACTCCAACGGATTGAAAATATTGGGGATCCATATATTCCCCTCCTCAATCTGTTCTAAGACTTTTAATTGAATTGCTTAATTGCAATTCCACCTCGGTTTTATATATTTTAAACTTTTCCAAAGCTTCGTCTTTGGAATGTAATAAATACACATAGCAAAACCGACTTGAATCATCAATAAAAGTAATAACATACTTTTTATTTCCTAATGAGGGAGTAGAGTGGAAATCCAATAGGTCACTATGAATCAAATCCAAAACACTCGAATTTCTTTTCACATTCGCAAAAGGTTGTCGTAAGCATACAAGTCTTATATTTTTCAGCACTAATGTTAAAGGCTGGAATTAATCCATGTTTAGACATTTCATGCATTTTCCTGAAGTTCACGTGACCTAATTTGGCATGCCATAGCATAGAATCATTTGACTTGCAAGTAGAGGTCATAAAAACGGTATTGTCACCGGAAGCCACAATATCTAAACGAGACAAATGATCGCATAAATAGCCAAAACAGATAAAACTACGATTCTTGGATAGGATAAAACTATCCGCTTCAAAAACTTGTTTGTAACCTAGGGAATTTAACATACTACCCGAAACAAGATTCTTCCAAACCTTCGGGACATACAAAACATCACATAAAGAAATAGTTTTTTCAAAAGTAAATTCTAATCTAACAGCACCACGCCCAACAATAGGCTTCATCGACTCATCTCCCATCCGCAAGTAGGACCCGTCATCAACCGATTCAAGCTTCTTGAACCAAGACTTGTCCTTGCATACATGGGTAGTCGCCGCCAAATCAATCCACCAAGAGTTTTCATCCTCCTTTACATTACAAATGTCAGGAATTAGTAAATATAATTCTGGACAGAATTATCAAGATCAAAAAACTGACCTTTGGGTGGTCCTTGGTCCTTAGACCCACCACCACCGCTATCACTAGTTCCTGCACCGTTTTTGTTGAGCTTCACACGACAATCGCGCTTCACATGGCCAATTTTTTTACATCTTCAACACACCAACTCTTTTGGTTTCTTGTTGGCTTTGTCATGGCCTTCATGCTTGCGCTTTTTGCCTTTGCCTTTGTGGTTTTGTCCAAATTTTTTCTCTTCCACAACATGGATAGCGGGATGTTCAACTTGAGATTTTCCCTGGTTTTTGTCACTTTCGTGCACACGAAGGGATTCTTCTATGCGCAAATAACTTCCCAACTGAACCAGAGTCATCTCCTCCTTTTGATGTTTCAATGTATGCTTGAAGTCCTTCCACGAAGGGGGAAGTTTGTCAATTACACTCGACACCGCAATGGATTCATCCATGTTCATCTTGTGGAGTATAAATTGACCAAGAATACGTAGCAATTCATTATATTGCTCCATAACAAGTCTGGAATCCACCATCTTGTAGTTATTGAAATCGCTTACCAAGAGCTTCTTACTCGAAGCAGCTTCCGCGATATACTTAGACTCGAGTGAATTCCACAACTCCCTAGCACTATGAACATTTTGGGAGATATCAAATAAGGCATCAGACATACCGTTCAAAATATGACCCCTGCAAATGTAGTCATCATTCTCCCACTTGCTTCTCTTCCTAGTATGATCCAAAGTCTCGCCCTCCATCACTTCGGGCGTTGAGGTACTCAGCACATAAACAACTTTCAGAGTCGTAAGCAGAAAGTGCATTTTCTTCTGCCAGCTCCTGAAGTCGACTCCTTCAAACTTCACCAGCTTCCCGAACCTCGAGGTCATTTCTTTCACAGAATCGGCCATAATCGACATTTGAGATATCAATTCGATTGTTAGAACATGGAATTTGTTTTAAAAAGACACAATAGGGTGATTGATCAAGAACCGCATTACTTAAGAATCATGTAAAGAGCACTTTCCGAATTGATATTTCGACCCTATGCCTGGGTCACATGAATTCAATATGGGTTAAGACTCAAGAGAGCACTATCGTTTTTAGGCACAAAAACAAGAGCAAACTAGCTGGAGTGTATATTAGACTTGTTCAAAAAAAAGAGTATCTAAAACATAAGCAAAAAGGTTATTTATGCTCATCGCAATTAACCAAAATGATAATCATGGCTTAATTTTAGGAGTAGTGGACAGTTATAAAACTGCACATTAAAAGAGTGGACGGTTATAAAACTGCTCATTAAAGATAATGGACAGTTACAAAACTGCTCTAATCGTTCCAGACATGAAGCCAAAGGCAAGACCAACCAAATCCCCTCTGGTCTTACCAACGAGAGCTTCTAACAGCCAGAAGCAAGGCCAAGCAGTGGTCTCATCAACCAGAGGCAAGTCTTTAGCAATCATAAGCAAGGAACCAAAGCCCCTCTGGTCTTATCAACCAAAGGCAAGTCTTTGGCAATCATAAGCAAGGGACAGAGCTTTTGGTCTTACTAACCAGAGCCTCTGGTCCTTAACAACCAGAGACAAGGAACCAGAGCCTCTGACCTCTGGTCCTTAACAACCAGAGGCAAGGAAGACCAAAGCCCCTCTGGACCTTAACAACGAGAGGCAAGGAACCAGATAACAACCAAAGGCAAGGAACCAGAGCCTCGGTCTTACCAAGCCTCTGGTCCTTAACAACTGGACTCAAGGCCGTCCTTAATCAACCAGAGGAGGCAAGGCCGACCCGAGCCCCTCTGGTCGACCCGAGCCCCTCTCCCGAGCTCCACTGGTCCTTATGATCAATTTTCCACCACAATGCAAGGGGTGTTGCCCCTTAACTCCCAACAGGGTCATACTCGTCTTATAACAAGTGTGCACTCCGCACCTCCTTGACTTGTATTAGAACACAGTATAAAACCCCCTTAGAACTCGACGTTACTTCCAAATTCCAATTACACTTAAATGGCCTGGTGACACTAAAATCACCAACACTTAATGCTCTAATGTTGGAACTGTGTATGAATTATGTTGTATTACTTGGACTTCATTTGCAAATTGGCAAAGCTTTTCCTGCCCTTTTCTGCATTTAAAAAGTGATAACTTAACAAAAGCTAGTGTTTGACAAACGTATATGTTTTTGAAAAGCCAAAATAGAAATACAATTTCTTTTTTATAAATCGTAAACTTGATTTTGATATTTGCTTATAAAAATGACAAGTGTTAATGATGCCCTAAACGATACGTCACTTCGGTTAACATCAACTTTCATGAATGAGAATCTTATTTCTTTTCTAATGATTCATTTCTATCTCTCAAATTCCTTATAGACATGTTGGTACCAATTTCTATAGATCAATGTTGTTTGCCCTCTAATCTTGGAGGATGACGGTAGGGGCATCTGTACCCATCTAGCCTCCATTGAAGAGAGCATGTTGGAATCCCACATTAGCTAAACTTGGACCTATTCTCCTCAATATACGTTGGAACCTCCCTTCTCTCCTCAAGATCTCTTCTGAAAAGTAATCCAATGAGGTTCCACATATTCACAATGCGAATGGATGTCTCTTATTTGTGAATATAGTTAGTGAGTTCATTTATTTCCCTTTCTTCTAGCCGGTGAATAATTGGATTAATATATGAAGAAAGATCTCAATAGATCATTGTTTTTTCAGATGCAAGATGAGCAGGATACCTCATTATTTGGATCTTCATTATCATAAGTAGCTAATTTGTATTGATAATAGCTGTTTCACAACACATTGACCACAATTTGCCTCTATCAAACTACAGATTTGAAGCTGGAATCCTTACCAAAACAGAAACAAATTGATTCTAATTGAGAGCAATTCACAGAGATAAAACCTTAAGAGTAAAGAACTGACCTTGAGACCATGGCAGCAATAGCTCCAGCCCAAAGATGCTTTGTAGTATTGAAAGCACCCCCTTGCTTTTGTACCTTAATCTCCTCTTCCTCCAAATGTTTCTCCCCATTTTCATTTTCATTTTCCCCACCCAAAATAACACTAGATTCCCCCACACTACCATCTTTTATCGACAAGGTCACCGACAAAAACCCACCTCCACCACGCCGCCGGCGAGTTCTCCGCCGTCTCGATGAACAAGAAATCGATACAATCGAACCAGTGGTGTGTAGCGAAACGAAGGAAGCTATGGACGAAGGAACACTAGCTGATTCAAGAAACAATCCACCGGTTACAAAATCGGTAGACGCCACTGATCTTTCCGGCTGCGATCCGGATGAGGCGATTAAATCTCGCATCCACAGTTCCAACCCTTTCATTCTCAAACCCTAAACAGGAAATGTAGCAGAGCCAATTATCGTTAGAAAAAGGAGATCAAAATGTAGTGAATTTCGAATGTTTCATGAGGAAATTGGATTGGAGTTAAAGAAAGTGAAATGGAAGAGGGGTAGAATTGAATAAGAAGAGCAATCTGTTGGATTGGATTCAACGGTGGAGCTCATAGCTGTTTAGTGCTTTGTTAACACCGCCGTAACGCCATGCCTATGTTTCTGTTGGGTTGTTGGTACACTCCTTCGTCCTTCCTACGTAAGTCAGCATGGAAACGTGTATCTTGGAGGAGTCCCCAAATCAAACATACGACAAAAGCTACCTTGTTCTTAAATTATAAGAAATATGCCCTAAAATACCCCACCCTCTCATAATACTCGTCTATTTCTGTGGTACAGAATCCGAAAAATTGACTCAAATCACATCCATTTAAATTGGTTTCTAATCATTCATCTCACGGGTGTTTAATTCAATTTTCCACGGAATAAATGGTGTTTGCTTCTTAAAATAGAATTTGATGGAATTGAAATTCTATCAAAGAAATTAGAATTTAAATCAACTGGAATAAAGTTTGATCAAATATTTGGTTGACAAAAATTGAAATGAATTCTTATGTGTTTGATTTATTAGATGAGTTTTACTATGTAATTTCAATTTTCTATATAATGAAATTTGAATTCCTTGGTTTTGATAAGAAATTTTAATTTCATTTCATCGGACTTTTGAGAAAAACTATTATGTTTTTATATTTACTCCAATCTATTACATCCCATCATGATGATCGTCAAAAATGCAAGTGCCACCACCATCACCGCTATTGTCGTCATCACCACTATCACCACCAAGGTTTAAAAGGCGGAATTGGGCCTCGAGGAGTTTTTCCTCGACGAGGCGAGGTGTAAGGCCCGAGGCAAAAATATAAGTATATAGATACATATATATAAGACACAAATATATATATATATA